TTTAAAAAACGCAAGACAATAAGAGTTATGGTAATTGGATGTACAAGGACTATGATAAATTCAATGTGAATCTTCACAAGTTCTAAAATGATTTATTAATAATAATTATTAACGTTTTTTTACCTCTATCATTTATTTATGAATGTAGTGTGTTTTCTTTTAATACTTGGGATAAAAAATTTATTGATTTAAAATGCAATATTCACTGCTAAAGTGGACGGAAAATAAAACCAAAAGAATGGAAACTAAACTCAGTATCGTATTGCAGATTTCTTCTTATATTCAAACTAAAAAACTTGTTTGGTTTTCCTTTATTGATAGATAAAGCCATTTCATTATGAAAAAATAAATTTTTGCAATCCATTATCTTCCCAACCCTATAAGGGACCATTTGTAGCAAAACGCCTGTTTGCATCTTTTAAAGAAGAACTTCTTTTTCCAACCAGTTTTTCCACCCAAAAAACCCTTCTAATGCAATCCAGTGGAAAAAGAAACTATTTGTCAAGGAAAAATATTGTAAATTATTAATGTTTTTCTAATAATTTATATGGGTATTTCATTAGGTAAATGGACCTGAATAAAGATAAGAATTAAAAGTGGTACTTAGAATAAGATGTTATTTTACAAGAGTAAATTAAATGTTTACATCATGAATCCATGTTAACCCACCATTTTTCTTTAAAACAGTAAGCCAAGAAAAACGGACAAAAAAACCAAAAAAACACTGGCGAACGTAGAAGTTTCCATTTTTTTGTGTTGGAAAGACGGAAGGTTGAAGCAAAGAGGGTGCAATTCAGCACATTTTCAACCGCTAGATGCTTACTATTCCTACACACTGGTCCTTTAAGGTTCCCTGGACTTATAGAATGTGCAACTGACGGAGGTGTTTGGAGGAGCACACAGGACAAGTTTATTGTAGAGTGGACAGGACAGGGATCCTAAACCTTCATTCATCAAACTGTTCAACAGACAGATGACACAAATCCTGTGCTGACTCACAATCTGTAAGACTGCAGTGTGTAAACTGTGGGTTCTGGTGGAGAATACTGACAATACGGTTCCCCACTTTGACCAAGACATGAGGACAAAGACTGACAGAGCTCTGGAGAGCTGCATGAAAGTAATTATGGGTCATTTTGATAATCATATTAGTTCCAGTATAATTACACCCAGGATCTGCTTTCAGTTTTGCTCCGTAGGCTCTGACCAGTCGAACAGACCACATTGGCTCAACAATTGATGAATTTATTAGTGGAAAACCATGTCTTTCTCACCAAATGGCCTGTTGGTGCTTTAGTTTTGTCCACAGCTGTTGTGTTTATGAGCATGAGAGATGAAAGAAAGAGAAAGTCTTCTCTAGTGTGCTGTCTCTGATAAGAATCTCTTTCTCTGCTATCTGCTCAGCCTTAGGGCAGGATTTAACCCACCTGCTCTCCTCACTGCTGACACTCGATGGTTCACACCATGACTTCTATACAACTCCCTTAAACTTCCCTTGACTGTCAAGTCAGGTCAGTTGTATTGACATTGCACAGACTCACAGACTAGAAGCTTACCAAGATACACCAGATAAAAAAAAAGTTTCAAATCTGTATCAAAATAAAAACTGTAGAACTGGTTCTGGTAGCATTATCATGACCAATAGAAGAACACTCCCGAAATCAGTTTTATCTCTGTATGTCCATTAGACTGATGGACCACGACATTGTTATTTTTAAAGTTTAGATTATGATTTAAAATCGAATCCTATCTGTGGCCCTTGGCTGCGTGTCACCCCCTCTCTCTGCCCTCCGTTCCTGTCTATGTTCAGCTGTCACTATCAATTAAAGGCAATAAAAGCCCCAAAAAATATGTTAAAAAAAAAATCTGATCTGATCAATATTCACAGAAAATAATCAGCTCAACATTTATAAATCTCTGCTTTTAAACAAACTGCAGTTATTGTGTTCACTGTATGTTATTGTTATACATTCAATATAATATAAAACTGAAAAACTTGGACATCCCTGTGTATAATATGTGAATGTTAAACAAAATTCTGTTCACTTCCAGTGTTAGGGTAGAAATCTAGGAGAGATCTCAGAACCTGGATGATTCAAACAGACATGATTGGACAGATACCACTAGTGGAAGTTTTTTGTAATTTGGGTGAATGGACACTTCAATCAACATGAAAACGAATTACTTCCAACATATTTACCATCCATTGTAATGAGGACATCTAACATCACAAACTACATAAACAGAGTGGGTACAAACTCCCAGCAGGAGGACAACAAGCTTTGGCTGGAGGCATGTGAATAGACAGGGACAGAGTAAAGTGGAGAGGTGCTGCCTGTGGCTTTTTTAGCCATCTCGTCTTGGCTCTGAAGGTTCTTTGGATGCCTCTTTCTGCTCAGCTGCCTCAATGACAAAGTGGGCTCACCTTAAACAACGGAGGCCTGGGAGCCTCCCAGAGCCTTTCAGGGCCAATAGAGGCAGCACCTCAGGGGGCCGCTGGCCATGAAAGACCACAAGCAGCCCCGCCGCACTCTGCAGGACTTCAGTAAACACTTCCAGACTGAGTCACTAAAGCTGAGCAGCCGAGCAAAGTGCCGCCTGCATATTTAAGAATTAAAGAGGTCAAATGGTGCCGAGGCATGACATTGAACAGATAGATGGGGGAGGATGTTGGAACAGATTTATTTATTTTAATTTATTTAGGTATCGCTGCTTTTTAAAACTTGACCAAAGGCTTTATCAGCAACAATATATGAGAATCCTTATCTTTCACCAGTCACACATTTCTCCAAACCTATGTGTTTATTCATATAAATACACTGTGTGCTAATGCAAATCACCCGTTTAAGAACATTTATGTCACCTATTGAAATGGGAATTTAACTAAATTTATACCAACTCTACAAAACAAATCAACAATAGCTCTCAGTTGCTCCTGAAGGTAATAAATATGTAATTTGTAACAAAGCTTACTGTAATATGAGCTACAGGTTCATTACATTTTTGCTGCAATGGCATATTTTCATTTTACTTGCAGATTTTTATGCATGTAGCAACAATACAGGGCCATGAATTGAAGGCCTGAACACTCGACTAATTGAGGCCAATGCCAAAGTTTTGAAAATAATTCAAAGAAGACAAAAGAAAGCAAAATAAAATCTGCCAGTTGGCACCAGGAGCCGCTCCGTCAACAAAGGCCTCAAATTCAAGCCCAAGTGGGCAAAACTGAGCTGAAGCCGAGACCAGCGCCGTGCTGCTGCTGCTCTGCACACGCTCCCATTCACACAGTTCAGCATTGTTCCTGCTTTTGTTCCAATACAGCTCCAACACAATGGCATTTAGTCACAACAAATGCAGCAAAAGTGTATAGTAAGCAGCAGAAGTGCAGTGCGTGCAACGTAGGCAGTTTGACAATGAGTAAAATATTTGCCAAAAGATTTAGGAACTCTTTTCCAGCACACTCTCTGTGCTGGAAAAAAATGAACTGAAAAATCCCAACTTTTGTTATTTCACTATGAGAAAATACTTGACTGCAGCCACAAACATATGGTCTCACTGAAAGCTATAGGAGCGGTTACAGGCGGGTTGTGTGCTCTCAGGAAACGCTACATAAAACTGGCACTGAACTCAATCCAGCCCACACAAAGATGCTGGCTTTATCAGGGCATTATGTCTTAGCAAACTGCTATTAATGCAAAGTCTTTATCTTCTTTCCTCCCCAGGCATTGGCATGCATGTGTCTTTATTTAGTAGATAAAAAATAGCCATAAACAAAAATTGCCGACTGTCAATATAAACACTGATAAAGATTAGAGCTGGGAGCAAATATAATAATAAGAGGCACTCTTAAGATATACTCGACACAGCAAAGCCCTCAGTGGACAGCTGCGGGCTTAGAGAAAGCAATTGCAGAAAGTTTTAAACAGCAATAGAATAATCTTATTTTGGAAGAAAGTAGATTAACAATCAGAGCAGTGCAAAGAAAATTAAGTGATTTGTGCTTGTTGGCTCTTTACAGTTTCTGGTTGAAAAGCTTTGAAATGCACTCTGTTTGTAAGAGATGGAGGGATAGGTGAGCTTTTCATCTGCTGCCTGTCACTCCACAGGGAAAATACTCTCCTTCTGCTGTTGTCAATTTTCATGTCAATCTGGGCCGACCCGAGCCTATTCAGGGCATATATGTGTCATACACTGTGGATTATATGCTCATACACCAGTCTTAATCATCTAAAACATAAGAGGAAACTCTAAATTACTGTTATTTCCAAATCCAAGCCCATTTGTTTCTACCAAAGATGTAAAAAAAAAAAGGCTCAGTAATTTCCTAAAACAGCTGCTCACTATAGTTTTTATCAAATATTACTGAAACGGGGGTGCATCGTTTGTTGGGGACTAATTTGATAGAATGTAGTCTTATGGTCTAATTATCTTATCAGACGGGGATCCCTAACTGTCTGAAAATAAAAGTCAGAATAAAAGAAAAATTAGCATTATAAGGCTCAAATAGGCTCATGATTTTTTATCCCTGGTCTTTTCTGTAGATTGCCAAATTAACAATAAACACTGTGAAACCTATAAACACAATAGTCATTCTTACACATTATCTCATTGGGCTAACTTGTGGCCAAGGAAGTAATCATAACATTTTTCACATTTTTCTGGGGATTCCCTGAAACCCCCTCAAGGACCCCTGGAGCCCCCAGACCACAGATTGAGAACCACTGCTCTTTTTTTATTGTGGATTGTGTTGTACTATGGTTTAAAAAGTACACAAGGCAATTAAGTAGAAACCACTTTAACATAACTTCTCTAAAACAATTGGGAAATCTGATTAAATTTATGATGGCATGTGGTCAAACCTACTGCTGTGTTTTTGACTTTTAGCAACATGTGAGTTATATCCAATCTTGAAGTTCGAAGTTGGAGGTTGGGGGGGTGGGGGGTAGCCCAGAGCCGGTGCATGCTTAAATCAGTGCAGTAGTTTCCCGTGTAAGACAAACCCTGCTGTTGAAGCTGAGCGCTCCCTCTTGCAGCTGGTTGCCCCCAAAATGGCTGCGCTCAGCTCTGGCCATCACTCTCACAGTTGGTGGAGGGGGAGCAAATTTCTGATTTGCAACACTCTGAGGACATGTTTATTATCTTTGTGTATGAAAACAAAAAAACACAAATAAGGCAGTGAGAAAAATCCCAGGATAAAGTGGCTAAAGATCAGAAAATGGGAGATTTTATGGTCATAAGTGGCACGGGCTGATGGTTTAGGTTTTTCGGCTGTAGTGGTAACTACTAATTAGGCTTGAAATACAGAGATCACCCTTCCATTCTCACATTGAGTGTGTGAAGTGTGATTGAGTGATAGAATTTGGAACATTTAATTGACTTTTAAAATATTTTCTCACATCATTTGGAGCTCCCAAAATGGAAAAGCCATACTCAAACTACCGCGACAGCTTGTACAAGTTGTAACTAAAAGGCAGCCTGAAACCTAAACAGCATTTCCACTGCCATTATTGGAGCAGAAGTGAATATCATGAATGAGTTATGAAGATTTTAGGATCTAAAAATGGGCTCACAGTCCAGATCAGGGTGAGAAACCTTTTTCTACTGAATGAGCCAGACTCTGCTTGCTGATGCAGCTACACTCTTCGGGCAAAAAAAGAGAAATAAAAAATGGGTCTGATAGCAGGAAACAGAATCAGCTTGCTGCGACCCTGAGGTCAACAATCATCCAACACACTGTTGATCCAACTTGAGACATTCACTGTCACTTCCCATTTTGGACATTCTTTGACTCAAACCAAACTGTCCCATTGCATATAAAGGTCACTTTGACTTTTGCACTTTGACATACCATGTCAGATATCAGATTGCTATATTTATTGGGCACGTTCATGGTCCCCAGAGAATAAAACCTTTTGATTAGAATGTACCTGTTGTGTCACCTTTGAGTGGATTTGGGTTTATTCTTAGTCTATCACATCTGACCACAAACACTGAGGAATATCAAGAAAATTCATGCCTTCATTTATAATAAAACAAGTATCAGAAATAACCACAGCAGCTCCTCTGGCACATTCTTCACATCAACTGCTTCATAACTGCAGGGTTATTGCATTTCATTAGACTGTATCCAGCCCTTTCTACACATTAGCACTCTGTGGCACAGCAGAAGCACTCTGTGTTCGTTCTTGTAGTTTGACAAAATAATCTTAAAGGTCCAGTGTATAACGTTTAGGATTATGTTTTCTTTAGTGTATAATCACCTGAAAATAAGAATTGTTATGTTTTTCTTACCTTAGAATGATTCTTTTTATCTACAAATGATAGCCTTCTATGGAGTCCACCATTAACCAACAAATCAAACACTGGCTCTAGATAGGGCTGTTTCACGGCCACCGTAGTCTCCAGTTAGTGAAGCAAGGGAGTTGCCACCTACAATGCTAGATGCCAATAAATCCTACAATATTGTATAATTGTAATATTGATATTGTGTAAATAATCAAGCGCCTCTTAATTAATTTCCATTTCTTTCCATTCACACTCCAACATAGCAGGTGGCAGTAATGCATTTTAATTCTAGTTGGCAGTGTTACAGTGGAGTGCAATTCATTTGCCAAAAAAGAGACAAAAAACACAATAAAAGTTCAAAATGAATTTGACTAAAAGCATTTGTTTTCTAATTTTCTATAGATATTGTGATAATGTTGTTGAATTCTTTTGGTCATGATAATCGTGTAGTGAAAATCTGATATGGTGACAGCCCTAATTGAAACCATTTCAATGTTGGAAAAAATATTAAGGATATAATATGTTATGTGTTTTTTGAATATCTTAATATTTTTATTGTTTAAATAGTTTTTTACTTTCATCTAGTGCATTGAGCCTTACCTTACAAAATCAAGACTGCCTTTTTAGTAAAGTTCACAGTTTCTTTTGTCTTTTTCACAACATTGAATACACACAGGTATGACGACTCCATCAAACAACGGAGTGCCAATAGGGCAAAGTGAGACTGATTTGAGTTCACAAAGCAACAGCTACTGATGGCTTTAAACTTTAAACTGAAACTTTAACTCTTTTCGGCACCTCAGTTGTAACTTTTTTCAAAAACTTTTGTGCCAACTGCCACCAACTTATTTCAGTGTGTCATCTTTACAGAGGCATACATATATCAGAAGCTCCAAACACTCCACATGTTAGAATGTTGATTGTAACACTCAACAGTTTTAAATGGTTTTGCTGCAAATTTTCAACTAAGAGAACATTTTTGCCTTTACTTTATCTCTTCTCTTTATTAACACATTTTGTCTCTCCTTCCCATTATTTTTCATCAAAAGAGATTAAACCATTTCAGCATTAGGATACGTTATGTTACACTTGAATACAGTTTAAACTACAGAAGTAACAGTATGTTGCTTTAGTTGTCTTTTCTGTTCAATATTTCCATAATAGTGTCAAGACACATGCTGCTTGGAGTAGCTGTAGGAAGCACAAGGTTTCTACTTGCACCCAAACAGCCGTACAAATGTGTAGTGAGTGGACCACAGCACACCCTCCCACTGCAGATGTACATTCATTCAAAGCAGGAGCATTAGAAATGCCGATCAACTCGGCAGCGCAGGGGAGAAGCTTTCCTTTCAGCGTTTTGCTGTTGTCTAGCTCAATCGTGTCACTTTGAGGGAGTCTATTCAGAGGTATTCATGCATCTGCCTTCAGGCTACAATGGTCGCCACTTTATAAACTGTCAGCCTGTTTGCCTCAAGCCTTTGGTTCGTGTTTCCTTTTCTTTAATAAGCTTGGAGGAGTTCATCAACTGCTTCAATGGTAAATGCTGGCTCAAAATAACAGACGGGCCTCCTAGTCCATTTTAGATTTTTTCCCCCCCTTTTTTTCTTGTTAGCAACTGTTTGTGCATAAGCAGACGTGCGGGTTGTTTTCTTTCCACATGCTCATCATCTATAGCTGCTTGAGCAGGGCAAAAAATGATAAAGAATGCTGACTCTGAAGTCAGCATTTGTGAAAAAAGTAAATTCTTCAAGTCAGGTCTTTTTTACAATTTTCAAACATTAACCTCTCTCACTGATTCCTGCTAAAATCAGACTGCACATCATCATCCCAGAAGATGATTTTGATATGATTATCAAGATACTTTTAACTCACCAAAAACATGACAATATGACAGTGTTGGTAAATTGAATTATTGATTGTGTTTTAATAAAGAATTACACATTATTTGTTCACAGATCATGTAGTTTGGAAGCAGTATGCTAGAAAGGATTTTATTTGTAAATCTATTGTGTTGTAATACTCTACAGTTTTGTACATCATGTTTAAGCACACTGTCATGCACAGCTCCATTTCACTGAGGAAATCCTGCAGTCTGTTCTTGTATTAAGGATTAATCTGTGTAGCTACATTTACATCAGAGACACAGGTGTAATATTGATCTATGGGTGCACACATCATTCTGATTGGCTGTGGTTATTTAGACAAATGTACTCAATATATACTCAAGCAATACATCTCCGCTGCATACAGCACTATATCAGTAACTCGTTGAATTAAAATAGTTTATCACAAATGTAAATGACCTCCTCAACTCAGGAAAATGCTAATTATTAAATATTTTAGTGTTAAATGTTTCCAATCCAGCCATGCATTTCACCAGCCACAGTGTGGTGCTCGAAAGGTCTGCCGCCATTGGACAGTCTGAAGAGACACAATGCATTTTTTGGGGGGCAGTTGAGGATGTCCAGTAAGCTCACACACGTACAGTTGGAATGCACTCAGTTTGATGTTGTACTTAGTATGAAATGTATGGCAGAGAGAGGATGTGTCACAGTTGATGCTGTGACGGTGACACTTGGGGGGTGTCTTTCCTTGGTTTTTTGTTTCTCCTGGGTTCTGTGGTGGTGCGTGTGTGTTATGGCCTGGCAGTGAGCTGATCACCTGGTGGAGGTTGCACACCTGCTGGCAATCCTCATCGGCGCCTGGCCTTAAGAGTGAGGTTTCGAGACTCGTCGGCCAGATATTCCTTACCCATGGGTTGAGTACTTCAGCGGGCCGGAATTAGTCTCTAGAGTTTTTTTAGTTTACAGTGAGTTTCTCTGTCAAGACCAGAACTAAACTTTTGTGTTTTCGTCTCTCTTTTACAAGATCCTGCACCCGGAAGTGTTTTGTGCCTGCCTGGAGGATCTTTTTGGAGCCGGCTGGTTGCCACTGTTCAGGACCTGGGCCTGCCCTCTGCTCTCACCTTGCCTTTTTCAAGCCACAGCTTCGCCTCTACTCAGTTCTTTGTATAAAGACCCCTGACCCTCAACCTGGAGTGATCTGCATTCCGCACCCCGGTCCTCAGTCCTACCAAACTAACAGGATGACATGCAGCAACCCTGGGCCACTGCAGAAGGGCTCCAGCCTTGGGTAGCAGAGCTCTACCAGCGTTGATCGTATCTATAGTATCTGGGCGCCCCGATAACACGTTTATTTGTCACCAGTGCAAGGACAAGTTGCTAGGTATCAACCTGCAATACCAGGCATAAGGTATCATCGGGTTTAAACACGGAAGCGACGTGCCACCTAATCTTCTCGTTCAGACAGTCACAAATTATTCTTCATAGAAGATCCATATTTGCGAAGCACTCCGCTGTCCACCGATCCATGAAACATGTACATATTAAGTCAGAAGGCCTTCAATATACTAATTGTACTTGCACGAAGGCCTTGGTAGACCAATCAAATGGTGAGTTTAGGCTCTTACTTAAGATATACCTGATCTATATAACCGGAAATTATTGTAGCAGCGTTTCAAATTATAATTCTTCAGGTGATGTATGGGTCGACATTGTGCAGCGCTCCATTGTAGTGTTATGCAATTTACATCATATCCAGTCTGCGCTACGTTAAATAACTAGCGAGCGATTAGTCAAGGGTAACGAGCACCATTGCTGGAGCGATCTATTTGCATAGATACGTCTCTCATAAAGTCTTGTAAAATCTCTATTGCAACTACGACACTGCGATTATATAAAAAGTAGGACATCCAATTTGGTGTGTGAATAATACGCGTGGAGACATG